CAAATATAAATTCTTCTGTTAGTCTTATCATTTATAGATAAGAATTGGCAAATATTGCTTTTTGTCTTGGACAAAGTAGATGAACCAAATATTTTTAAAAATCGTTAGTTTCATTTGTTCTGCTTTTATGAACAATTGCGATTTAAAAACATTTGAGCTCTTGTGATATATCATGCCACGTGGAATTAACTTGTCTGCAGATCTTAAGTTGCGAGTAGTGAATGCTTTTAAGGATGGTTTGAAGCAATCGGAAATCGCTAAGCAATTACGCCTTGGAAAATCAGCGGTACATTATATTTTAAAGAGATATAATGAGAGGGAGATGTCTCTATAAAAGAAAACCAGGACGACCTAAAAAGTTGGTCCCAATATGATAAAAGCCATAAAACGAATTTCTTCACAAGATCCATTTTTGCCGTCAACGAAGATAAAAGCAAAACTTGAAGAAATGGGCTATCCACCAGTGAGTACAAGGACGATCCGACGTAAATTAGTTAACGAGAAGTTGTTTTCCCGAAGATCCGCCAAGAAACCACTGCTATCAAAAAAAAATTTGAAGGCCCGATTAGCATTTGCCAAGGAATATCAAAACTGGACTGTGGCACAATGGAAAAAAGGTTGTTTTAGTGATGAATCAAAGTTTAATTTGGTGTCATCAGATGGAATTCAACATGTAAGAAGACCTCCCAACACACGATTGCTACCAAAGTACACGCGACCCACTGTAAAACATGGTGGGGGCTCAATCATGGTATGGGGGTGTTTTTCTGGGTATGGGATGGAGCCTCTCCATAAAATTGAGGGCTTAATGGATCTGTTTGGCTACAGAGACATTTTACAAAACCTTTTAGTGCCTAATTTGGAGAAAAAAATGCCAGTTGTACACTACTTCCAACATGATAACGACCCGAAACATGCCTCACAATTGGTTAAAAGGTTTTTGGAAGATGAAATGGTGACTGTCCTCAAATGGCCATCGCAATCCCCAGACCTGAATCCAATAAAAAATTTATGGGAAATTTTGGATCAACACATTAGGACCAAATTCTACAAAAATAAGCAAGAATTATTTGCAGCTTTGGAAGAGTCTTGGAAAAATATCGATTTTTCTATAATTGAAAATCTTCTGGGATCCATGCCTAAGCGATGTCTGAAAGTAATTAAGAATAAGGGTTATTACACTAAGTACTAGTAAATTATAAGTTAATTTTTCAGTTTTTGTTAACATAAGATTTTTTTTATTCTACTTTTGTCCAATAGTTTTTTCAATTTAAATTTTTTGCTACCTTACTAAAGCACATTTTAAAAAAACAATGCTATTTATTTTTATAGCACTGACCCTAAACTTCAAGTAAATATAGCTCAAATTTTAATTTTAAACATATTAGGAAAAACCCATTATTTTAACAAAGTTCATCCAGTTATGGCCAATACTGTATTTGTGATGTGTATCATCAGTGTTTCACAAGCACACTATTTCACTATTTCTCATTACAGGTACACATTTTTAACCTTGATTAATTATTAGTATTGAGACATACTTTTTTTAATTCCGAAATTTTATGTAACATTGATAAATATATGTTTGGCATTTAATAACTTCCAAGTTTATTACAATAATAAATTTTTCATCGCAAAAAGAATTTTATGTTTTCCACAAAATGAAAGAAAATTATTATAACAAAGTACTAAAAAAATATATATATTCATAAATGATTAATATTTTTTCTACTCGTAATAAATTCCTTGAAATAATAATTTCTGAATATTTTTTACAACGTTACTCGCTATGGAAAAAATTATTGTTATACACGACGATAAAATTGCATTATCTATACCAATAAAATATATATAAAATACCATTTTATCATCTTGTATAAAAAATAACTATTTGTTTATCCCATTTCATGTTTAAAATTATAGAAAATACAATATATTACTAATGACAACAAATTTATTTATTAGGGAAATTTGGTCCTGTCCAGTGTGAAAAAAAATAATTGGTTCTGTTCCTAGTTCCTACTACAGTCTTACTAACTGCAACTGTGTGGATTTGTTGTTATATTCGTAGTCGGTTTTTTTATGTCTTATTTATTTTTAGCCGACCATACCCAACAGGAACAGGTATGGTAGGCTATTAAGATCGGCAAAAAAAAGTTTTTTTAATTTCACTCAAAATGAGTCATTTGGGTCATAAATGACCTAAATACAAAATATTTTCATGGTATCTGTCTGTCCGTCTGTCTGTAACACGATAACTCAAAAACCGCTAAACCGATTTTATCCAAATTTGGCACAAAAATACTGTGGCACTTAGTGATGAAATGAAAAAATATACATTCCCGTGATTTTTTACGTAAAAAATGTCTCTTAGTAAAAATCGTTACGAGCAACCGTTCTCAAGATATTTAGAATGGGAACAGTCAATACATGTTATTATCAACAAAAAATAAAGATGTTGAGTAGATAGTTATTTGACTAAAATTCAGTTCGGACCACCCTGTATATATGATTTGTTTTGCTATCGGTATCACTCACCAAACCTAAATTCCCTTATGACAGGTTTGCCACCCATTCGAATCATTTTCGATTGATCCGTATAATGCTCGTAGCTAGGGATCGGCAAGACAAGAAATCTTGTCTTGACAAGCAATTTCTTGTCTTGTCTTGAAATATTTTCAAGAATTAAAAAAAATCTTGTCTTGACCATTTCTTGAGAGTTAATTTCTTGTCTTGGTTCAAGAAATCTTGAAATTTCTTGATATCTTGACAAAAGGGGAACCCCCGTTTAAAATTCGTTTGTTAAAGGAGAACCTCCTGTTTAAAAGTCGCGGTGAGATTGATTAATGTGATGTTTATGCTTTATGCGTAAAATAGAGGGTCGGGCATCTAATTTTCAAAAAATTCAAAAACTTTGGGCTCATTATACTACAGTAGCCAAAATCATCAGATTTACATAATTTTGTTAATTATTATTACTATTATCTAACATTAAAATGAGTGTTTGTGATGGTTCATTGAGCAGCAAATCTGAGCCATTCGTAATTGAATCTGGTTCAGAATACCTACCACCTCAGACACCTGGACGTAGAAGTTTAATTAGCGACCATGAGAGTAGTGACGGTGATAATACAACTACCGATAAAAACAGTCAAAACACAACATGATATAGTCTGTAAAACGAATAACTTTGAATTTGACAGTTCCCGCGGGCTTTTCTAGTGTTAGTTTTATTAGGTTAGCAACTTGCGGGCCATGCTGATGCAATGCCATCTCTAATAGAACAGCCTCGGAGCGAGATTTCTGACGTCACGCTAGTTAGATATTACGGATTAATTATGTTGTAGAATACATGGAAAACATTCCTCGTATATGTAATTTTTTGGATTATATTCGACACATTTACATTCGACATTTTTTTCAAATGACACAGCACTGATGAAGGCTATAAACGTTTGCTATAACGTTTTTTTTAAACTAAAAAAAAATAATGAAAACCCGAATGCAAACTTAATCAGCGTTTTTCCCGAACCTAAATCCCAAAAAATAAAAAATTTTAGAATAATTTTACATATAAAATGACAGCGATCTTCATTTCATAGCTATCGCTGACGCCTTTTTTTCTATGATATTGTATTATTTGCAAATATAATTTTTCGCACATTGATGCTTGCAAAATATACATATAAATTTTGGGAAATGCAAATAATAATACATCACTATTAGTAGATATTGAATGTTTTTTGTTAAATTAGATCAATTTTCAAACCCCAAAATTTAAAATATATTTTACATTTTACCCATTATCTTATGTACCTATTCATTATTTGTATATTGTAAAACATATGATGCATTTGTATGGTTCATAGTTTATTTGCCAAAGTATTTATTACTATAAATAGGTATATGTATATTGTATTTATTAACTGTATATTATGTATAGTTCATGTACACTATATCATTTTTAAAATACAAACCAAAAATACGAGGAATAATTATGTTTTCCGTGTATTCTACAACATATTTATTAATCCGTGGTATCTAACTAGAGTGACGTCATAAATCTCGCTCCTAGGCTGTTCTATTAGAGACGGCATTGGTCTGATATTTAGAAATGTCAAAGGCTGATGACATTTTACTTTTGTCAATTATGACATTTCGCGTTGATTTTTGCAAGAAGTGGAAGAACTGTCACTTGTTTTATAATTTTCCTTTTCTATTTCACGAAAGTAAAAAGAGTTACCTATCTGATTCGTTCAGGCACTCATTTTAAAGAATATCAGTAACTTTTTGGATAGAGGGATTTTATATTTGCCATGTTGGTAAAAAATAACGGTCAAAATTCAAAGTTATTCATTTTATAGACTATAAAAGCTACTTCAGTGGCGGACATTAAAATGTATTATTTTTTTATTTTAAAAGTTTTACGTTCCTTCAAAAAGTCTGTATGCCACTGATGTAGATTTTTTCTAATATCGTAGGCCATAACATATCCAAAAAATTATAAAAAAAACATTTAAAAATTATTAGGCATTAAAAAATGTTCCAATTTAATTTGGCTCACAGTATGCCAACTTTGGACATTGGACATCCGACAAAGTGCCGCTTTGTACAAATATTTTTTGCTTAATAATTTTTTTTATCCATCATTTAATGGATATTCATATAATATCCAAAAACCTAAGTAAATGAGTATTTCTTTTTTATTTTATATTTTCAAGAAATTTCAATAATTTTCTTGATTTCTTGTCAAGAAATCTTGATCTTGAGAAGTGATTTCTTGTCTTGTCCTGAAAACTAAAAATCATTTCTTGTCTTGATCTTGTCTTGAAATCAAGACAAGGTCAAGAAGTTGTCAAGAAAATGACGACCCCTACTCGCAGCGATGCTAATGTTTTGCGCGCCCGGTATAACTTCATTATTTGGCTTTGTCGTTATCGCTAAATTTTATGGGTGTCGTAAATTGAAAAAAACCGTATAAATGTTCCGACACGAAGGGAACCAGCTACAATTTGAGTTTAAAGTCTTATTTATAAACAAATATGGTAAAATTAACAACCTTAGTTCTTCTGGTACTTGTGGTAACAGTCTTAAACGCAGGTATGTCTACATCAAGCGATGTAGGGAGCAAGGGAGTCAATCGCCAGGTCTTCGACATTCCATGTAAAGATGGATACATACGTGTAGGTGGGAAGTGTACAGAAGTGTAAGTTTTTATATAAATAGATAGTTTGGATTTTTAAAAAAATGTACCTTCTTTTGGTATTTTCCCCAAAAAATGTTTTAGGGTTTTTCTCATATACTGATTTTATTGCCAATAATACCAGTTATGTTCTACAGGATTTTTTGTTCTCATATTGGTTCATTTTAGATTAGACATTTTCCAGTCTTATCCGTTTTTAAAAAAGTCTAGCAACTTGGAGACTGTACAGGGTGGGTCAAATTCGACGCTTTTAAATGGAAACACCCTTTTCTGTAGGAGATAGACAAAAACTAATATCGGTGTCTGGAGCTCAATTTTTGTCAAAAACATGATGGTGAAAACCGCATATCGATATCTGTTACCGTTTCGGAGTTACGGGGTGTTTTTCAAAAATATGCATTTTTAATAAATCGCTGTAACTTTTATGCTATGGAATATGTTGTATTTTTTTGAAAACATTTCCAAAGCACCTTTTACAATAGACTTTAAGGTTTAAGTATAATTTTTGTAAAATTAATAATTTAAGAATTATCAACAGAAAATTTGATTTTTTATATGGGACACCCTGTATATTTTTAGTTTATTGAAAAGAATTTAAAATTACCTTTCCAAAAATACAACACACTTGATATTTTGCTCGATTCCTCTTCGAGATATAGAGTATATAAAAATTTGCCCGCTTCTACTTCGAAAAAATTCAAGTTGTGAGCATCAATTAAAAAGAAAATAATATTTGTTATGAGAGATGCAGAATTTTATAACAATTTAAAATATATATTAACCAACATCAACACATTTAAACTATATCTAATAGCAATAAAAATAAATAGCAAACCAAGACAAGATATTTTGCTACAGGTGTTCGACATATCGACTGTCTTCTGTTATGGACAGCCACACGGGGCCGTTTTTGAGCATTTCTCGCGGAATTCATTCTCAGTGGGAGTGAAAGACACCCTCTCATAACTGCTAAGTATTTCTAATTCTTGTCTAGATTATACGGAATAAGGAACCTTTATTCTTCAGCAAATATATCCATAGGATTAGATCCATGGGCACTAAGTCAGGCGGCCTCGACGGCCAACGGCTGGGATCTCGATTAGCTATTCAATTATTCTTGAAATTGGCTGCAAAAATTTGCTGATAACTTCAGCGTTCAGAGGCGGTGCGTCGTCATGCTGGAAAAATGTGTTTTCGAGTTCCATTAAGGGCATATCAGCAATAAGTGATCCAAAGCCTACTAGTTAAAAGTAGCGAAATTTTAAAAATTCTGTATTTCGAAGGGGATTATAACAAAATATCAAGTGTGCTATATTTTTGGAAAGGTAATTTTAAATTCTTTACAGTTAATTAAAAATATAGAGGGTGTCCCAAATAAAAAATCAATTTTTCTGTTGATAACTCTTAAATTATTAATTTAAAAAAAATTATACTTAAACCATTAAATTCTACGTAAAAAGGTGCTTTGGAAATGTTTTCATAGAAATACCAAATTTTCCATAGCAAAAAAGTTACAGCAATTTGTTAAAAATGCACATTTTTGAAAAACACCCCGTAACTCTGAAACGGTAACAGATATTGATGTGCGGTTTTCACCATCATATTTTTGATGAAAATTGAGCTCCAGACACCGATATTAGTTTTCGTTTATCTCCTATAGAAAAGGGTGTTTCCATTTAAAAGCGTCGAATTTGACCCACCCTGTACACTAAATAAATCTCTTCGTCAGTGGCCTACCAGTAGAAAGAACCACACATTTGCCATAAAATGTGTTTCTGTCGTTTCTTCTTGAGACAGACTGAAATCTGCACATGCTCCAAACAGGTTTAGATGCCTGTTCAGCTTACAAAGTCCTATTAGTAAACCCACTACAGCTTTAACAGTCTTTCCGTTTTTGCTTGCATTATTTTTCAATTCTTTGCAATATTTTAACACAAACTGCGTTTTGAAACGTGCTGATCTCTATATTTGTTAATTTATCTTTTTTTTTTGTTGTTTCAGATTCAAGGGTTAGGAGCTTTTTCGAGGTTTCACATTCAAACACTATACCGGGCATCAATAAAAAAATGGACCAATTATACGTGTATAAAAAAATATTATAACAATATTAAATGCGAAACTAAGAGACTTCTATTGTCCTTATTTATTTTTCCTTACACAACGTTGTTGTCAGAAGTATCACTGACCACTGACCGTTATTAAGTGTGAACTCATCTAAATTCTAAAACTACTGAGCTTAATATTCTAGAGCCGACCATTCACGATTCATTTATTCTTAAGGGCGTTGGTTAAATTTACTTAGTAATCGAAATGGTACATTATTCTTTTTTAATTATGGTGTCGTGCAATGGCCAAGTCATTATAATTATTACACAAATAAAGATGTCTAATATTGATACTAACAAGTTGTAACAAAATTGTTGAATAGGTGCTTAAAGAGAAACTAAATAAAATAAAATGACTTTGTTTTACATGAGATAGGTGCCCGGTGGCGTAGAGGTACAGGCTCTCGTCTACCAATCTCAAGGTAGTGGGTTCGTAACCACACCCGGTATTTCAGCCGACTATTTTTATTAAAATAAAGATAGTTTGGGTACCTAGGTCGACTGAGCCTTAAATGAGTACTTGGGATTCACAATCCTGAGGTAATAATAGACGGTTGAAGCGTAGTGCTAGCCACATTACCTTCCTTGTATACCGAACGGTCCCAGTATGGCAAGCTGTACCTTGCTACACCCAAGGCGTTAAACGCTATATACGGGAGCTATTATTATTATTATTTACATGAGATTCTACAATTTTTTATAGTGGGAGAATTGTACTTCGATACTTGGCATTTTTTACATTCTATGTTTTGTCTCATTTCTTTTTATGGGTTATCCTCCTACTTTTTTCTCGGGTAATATAATATAATTCAAAATAATATTAAAGAAGTTTGTCCAGAAATAATTCGTAAACTTTCTATTATTGTATGGCTAAGAAATGAAGATCGCTGTCATTTTAAATGTAAAATTATATAGAAAATGTCATCGATGTTATTATCCAAGCCAACCGAACGCCATTTTTTCTCGTTCGCTGTATTTAAGCAGTTGCTGTCGAACAGCAACTGTTTAGAAATGTTATTGATTTTTTCACTCGTGTATTCTTTCTTCCTTACTGAATAAAGTTCTTTATTATTATTATTACTCTGCTGAAATTTTTCGATCTATATAATTTGTTTTGCCATCGGTACCAATTGCCAAATCTAAATTCCCTTATGACAGGTTTTCCACCCATTCCAATCATTTTCGATTAATCCGTATAATGCTCGCAGCACCGCTAATGTTTTGCGCGCCCGGTATAACTTCATTACTTGGCTAATGTCGTTATCGCTAAATTTTATGGGTTTCATAAATTGAAAAAACCGTATAAATGTTCCGACACGAAGGGAATCAGCTATAATTTGAGTTTAGTCTTATTTCTAAACAAATATGGTAAAATTAACATCCTTAGTTCTTCTGGTACTTGTGGTAACAGTCGTTCAGGCAAGCAGTCAGTTAAATGCAGGTAAAAAAAAGGGAGTCAATCGCCAGATCTTCGCCAACATTCCATGTAAAGCTGGATACATACGTGTCATAGGTGGGAAGTGCCCAGAAACGTAAGTTTTTATATAAATAGAGAGATTGGATTTTTAAAAAAAATGTATCTTCTCTTGGTATTACCCACAAAACATGTTTTAGGGTCTTTCACATATACTGATTTTATTACCAGTAATACTAGTTATGTTCTACAATATTTTCTTTTTCTCATATTGGTTCATTTTAGGTTAGACACTCTCCGGTCTTATCCTTTTTTCAAAAAGTCTAGCCAGCTTGGAGACTGCACCCTCCATAAAGCTCTTCGTCAATGACCTACCCAATGACTAAAGAATATACACTCATGTAACAAAGTGTCTAGTCCTAGCAGTCAACTTTTAAGCTTGACCAATCAGGTTGGTTAGCGTGGTTATTTGAAGGGTGCTAATTCATTTGTGTTTGTCAAAAACTCTAACGTGATTGGTCGGGCTTAATAGTTGCCTGCTAGGGCTAAACACAAGTCATGTAAGAACGTTTTCGATGGGCCACCCTGTATGTACTTGATGTGTGCTATACGTCGATACTAGTTTTGTACCTTTTGTTAATATTTTAATACGGGTTTTCCGTAATTAATTAGTATGATGCCACCGCCTAACACCATAGGCGTAGTCAAAACATTTATCAAAAATATAAATATCCCTTCAACCAGCTAAGTTAAAAAAATATGGCCACGGCACTGTTTGGTGCCATGGTAACAATTTGCTCTCGAGTGTTATTTGTCCTTGAATTCTTTAGTCATTGGGCCTACCAGTAGAAAGAACCGCACATTTGTCATAAAATGTGTTTCTGTCGTTTCTTCTTCAGATTGACTGAAATCTGCACATGCCCCAAACGTCCAAACAGCTTTAGATGCCTGTTCCAGCTTACAACTTACAACGTCCTATTAGAAAACCCACTACAACTTTAACAGTCTTTCCGTCATTATTTTTCATTTCTTTGCAATTTTTTTACACAAACTTCATTTTGAAACGTGCTGATCTCTATTTATTTGCTATTTTATATCTTTTTTTTTTGTTTCAGATGGCCCAAAATAAGCTAAACCCTAAGCAAAAGAATATATACCGGCCATCAGTAAAAAATGGACCAATACTATGTATATAATATATTTATACTTGTATAAAATATATTTAATGCCTACTAAAAGAATTTCGGATTTTTCTTTATTTATTTTTGCTTACACAACGTTTCGGTCAGAATTATCACGACCGTTATCAAGTGTGAACTAAACTAAATCCTAAAACTACTGTGCTTATACAGGGTGGTTCAAAAAACATGTGCCATCTCTCGTGGGGAGATTTCTCACGTAAAAATAAGATTTATTTTTCATATCAACATAAGGCCGATTCTGCTTTGTTTGGCAGCTTTGTTGTCAAAAACATGATGGTGAAAACCGCATATCGATATCTGTTACCGTTTCGGAGTTACGGGGTATTTTTCAAAAATATGCATTTTTAACAAATCGCTGTAACTTTTTTGCTATGGAAAATTTTGTATTTTTATGAAAACATTTCCAAAGCACCTTTTTACGTAGAATTTAATGGTTTAAGTATAATTTTTATAAAATTAATAATTTAAGAATTATCAACAGAAAATTTGATTTTTTATATGGGACACCCTGTATATTTTTAATTTGTTGAAAAGAATTTAAAATTGCCTTTCCAAAAATATAACACACTTGATATTTTGCTCGATTCCTCTTCGAGACATAGAGTATATAAAAATTCGCCCGCTTTAAATAAGTAGGCTTTGAACGGCACCGGCTGTAATGCAAAAAAAATCTAGCTGTGAGAAACGAAAATAATATTTGCTATGAGAGATGCAGAATTTTATAGCAATTTAAAATATATTTAACCAACATCAACACATTTAAACTATATATAATAACAATAAAAATAAATAACAAACCAAGACATGAGATTTTGCTAGAGGTGTTCGACAATTCGACCGTCTTCTGTTATTGACAGACGGGGCAGTTTTTGAACATTTCTCGCGGAATTCATTAACTTAGTGGGGGTGAAAGATACCCTCTCATAACTGCTAAGTATTTCTAATACTTGTCTAGATTATACGGAAGAATATGAAACCTTTATTCTTCGGCAAATATATCCATAGGGTTAGATCCATGGGCACTAAGTCAGGCGGCCTCGACGTCCAACGGCTGAAATCTTGGTTAGCTATTCATTTATTCTTGAAATTGGCTGCAAAAATTTGCTGATAACTTCAGCCTTCAGAGGCGGTGCGTCGTCTTGCTGGAAAAATATGTTTTCGAGTTCCATTAAGGGCATATCATCAAGAGGTCCAAAGCCTACTAGTTAAAAGTGGCGAACTTTTAAAAATTCTGTATTTCGAAGGGGATTATAACAAAATATCAAGCTTGCTATATTTTTGGAAAGGTAATTTTAAATTCTTTTCAGTTAATTAAAAATATAGAGGGTGTCCCAAATAAAAAATCAATTTTTCTGTTGATAACTCTTAAATTATTAATTTAAAAAAAAATATAATTAAACCATTAAATTCTACGTAAAAAGGTGCTTTGGAAATGTTTTCATAGAAATACAAAATTTTCCATAGCAAAAAAGTGACAGCGATTTGTTAAAAATGCACATTTTTGAAAAACACCCCGTAACTCCGAAACGGTAACAGATATTGATGTGCGGTTTTCACCATCATGATTTTGATAAAAATTGAGCTCCAGGCACCGATATTAGTTTTCGTCTATCTCCTATAGAAAAGGGTGTTTCCATTTAAAAGCGTCGAATTTGACCCACCCTGTACAGTTTATGATCATCTGCTGATGATGTTAACATGGTTAGCGAAACGCGCGTCCAGTGTAAAAGTAAAAGTGTTTTGGTGTATTGTGGTGATTTAGTGTTTTTATTTTGATAAACCATACTCCAAAAACGCTTCCGCTTGGAGTAAAATGGCGCTAAAATTTGAATTATTTTTCGGTTTTTATTTTATTACTCGTAAGCCAGAGGACCTAAATACGCAAGTGTTTGGTTAAATGCTAAGGGCAACGTGGCTGATATGTGTGAAAAAAATTAGATTAATTGCTATAGAGGGTGTTGTTTTTGTGAGTGTCAACTGCACGCAACCTTGTCGAAAATTTTTGTCGCGCGCCACTGGATAAATTTGTATTTTTTTTATACCTTCCGTCTTTTTACTAACTTTTCTTGTTCTTAAATTTTGATATGTCGCTTAGTTTTCGAGATATTCCACAAAATTCCGAACATAGCTCAGCTGCGTTCGAAAAATGTTACTTAATTAGCAGCATGCCATAGATAAAAAATAATTCAAATTTTAGCGCCATTTTACTCCAAGCGGAAGCGTTTTTGGAGTATGGTTTATAATACAAACTATCATTATTTCGGTTAGTTCTATCGAGAGATACCTGAAGTTATTCTAGTAAAATCTGAATCACCCTGTATAAGCAACAAATGTGTTAAATCTTAAGGGGTATTCTCACTTCTCACGACTCGTGTACTTGACAAACATTTGTAATTGGTATACAGGGTATGTATACACGGTGCGTCGGGCATTTATACAGAATTTCTAAGTTATTTATTATAGCAGCTACGCCGAATTATCGCCAGACCCTGTGTGCCAATAAAAAATACTTGCTAGGTAGGTTTATTTGGCTGTCAATTGATATTTTTTTAATACACTTTTAACCATAGATTTTGAAGTAGTTTGATATACAGATAAAATCTGTTTAATTATAAGTATTGGGACATACTTTTTTAATGCCGATATTTTATGTAATATTGATAAATATTTATGTTTGGCATTTAATAACTTCCAAGTTTATTACAATAGTTAATTTTTCGTCGTAAAAAGAATTTTATTTTTTTCTACAACATAAAATAAAAGTATTATAACTAAGACGAATGATTTATTATTATAAATTAAATGTCAAATTTCAAATTAATTTTAAACAATAGTTTGTACGATGTTTACTAGAAAATTGTAAATATTTTGAGATTACATTTCTTAAGGGTTTTGACGGAAGCCAGTATCTGAGACGATTTTACAAAGATTAGTTCTACATCTCCGATATCAGTCGTACCAAAGTTTATGGCAAGCATCAAGCACATTGGGGCTACTACAGTGGTGCCCGAGGGTGCCCGAGGGTGCCACCCTTCCGCTACTGCTGTGCTGGGCACCCCCCAGAGAAATATTGTATTATGACTCTTGGCTACGTATTAATTGCTTGTGATGTAGTAAAAATGACGTGTTTTCTAGTTTTGTTTAGTTAATATTATTTTGTTGTGTTCAAAAGATGTGTTAATTTTTTTTAGGAAATTTTGTAGTTAATTTTTTAGTAAAGTAATCTACGGAAACACGGTTTGATAACCAAGTCTATGAAATTTATTGATAGAGAAATTCATGTAAACGTATTATTCAAAAAATGTGTTTTTTAAAATTATTCTTCATTTAAAAAAAAACAAAAGCACTAGGCTCGCCTGGGCGAACCCCTGACCCCCCCCCAGGATGAATTGCTAGTTAAGCTAATGATCAAGCATATGATCGGAAAAAAAAACGGCGTCAGCGATGGCTATGAAATGAAGATCAATAAATAAATGCCTTTACTGTCAAAAAATTTTACAATTTGTAGACAAAGGTAAAGTAAACAAACAAAAGAGAATACAAATCAAGTATACAAAACAGAGTACTAATATACATATATACAAACAAAATATATAGGTATAAACAAACAAGTAGTACAAATTACATTGTCAGTCTTATTGTTTAAAATAAACATTTATAAATGTTTACAATGTCAAAGAATAAAAACAAAATAAAAATAAGAATCAAAAATTATTTAGGTAGTTAATAGTAAATATAGTAATAGCAAATATTACACCATCAATGTTTACAAGATCAAATTCGATTATCAAAATATCTAGTCTTGTCTAGTAAATAAGATTTCCATGCTTTGCGAAATTAAGAAAATGATTTTATGGATTTGATTTTAAATGGCAGGTGATTGTGCATTTTTTTCGAGTTGTATAATATTGAACTTATAAACTAACTCTGAGCGTGGGGTAGGTAGATAAAGATCTTGTTCCGCGTTCCTGAGTGGATAAGTGTGAGATGGCCTTTCTTGAGAAGCTGATACATGCTTACGTAGTAGGCAAACGGATTCAAATATACTACTGTATTTTTCAAAAAAGTCCCGGCAATAAGTTCTACTGTTTAGTCCCAGTGAATATCGAACAGCTCTCTTCTGGAGCTTGAAAATGCGGTCAAATTGAGTCGCACAACACCTACCCCGGAACCCGGAATGGAAGGGCATATCTGAGGTGTGACTCACAAAGTAAATAATAAACAGTTCTAGCCACTGACAAGTTAAGCTCCTTAGAAACAGATCTTAATGCAAAACAGGCAGAGCTTAATTTCGTAGATATGCATGTCCCATTTTAGAGAATTGTCTACAACAAGTCCTAAGAATTTTACAGATTTTACGACGTCAATAGTGGTGTTGTTAAGTACAAAAGGCTGCAGCGAGTTTTTATACGACAAAGCTTTAGTTTTAGACACGTTGAGACGCAGGAGGTTCAAATCGCACCAAGATTTAATGGTGCTTAAGTCATTTTATATAATCCTATGAAGTGCCGTGACGTCCTTGTTGCTCCAAGTCGTCCGCATAAAATAATTAACTAGAAAGAAGTGTCAACTCTGTGTTAAATCGTGGAAACACGATACGCCACCGAAAGCCTTCGTTGTCGTCTGGAGAACTAATTTTCCAATTGACAGGTTGACATGATAAGGACATGATGGCTTAATTTTCATTTCCGTTTCCGGTTATTCAATGGCGGGCCCTCTTTCAGTTCAAATGTATTTTGTATTTTTTCTTTTCATAAATAAAACCAAAAAATAATTTATTCACATATATTTATTTGAAATATGGAACAGCGTGACTAAATAAATATAAAAATATAGAGGATTGTATTGTTTCACTACCAGTTAGTTAATTATATGTACTTTTAACGTAAATTAGTTAAGGTATAAGCATGACTTACAGTAATTTGTAAATAAACACACGTATTCGCAGACTTCAAGGACAGAAAACGGACACAGGGACATGAAAACGGGAGCCTTATACAAAAACCTGGGTATACCAAAACCTGAAAACAGAAAAACAA